CCCCCCCCCCCCCTCCGACCTATTTGTTCAAGTTGCTTGTGGTTGTGGAAAGCTTTGTCGGATTAGGCACCTTTTGCCAAGAGTCTAAGAAAATAACTTTATATATTCGGATTCGTAAGGGTTGGATACTATAACATATTAATTATTAATATAACAACTCGAATAAATAATGCATACTACGAGTTCAGTACGCTAAGATAGCGACATTAGGTCACTGATCAATGACTCGCAACGCTTATTCCAGAAATTATACAAATTTTTTTTATAGAACATATAAAAACACTCGATCAATTTTGTTTTATGGCACAAAATAGCAGTAAAAACTCTAATATTTATTGCAGATGACTACTCTTAACGAAAGATAATAACCGCTTAATGAATAGTAGTAGTAGATGCATGATTCATATGCCACTATTCAAAAGTTCTGCTATATTTATGTTCGTAAAAAAACTCGCATACTTTACCAGTGTTGTCGAAAAAAACGCGTCTATGGCTAGTGCTATAACCCTTCATTTTGCAGAAAAAACATTCACGCCCGATGTATTATTATTGTCACTATTTATATTACTATTATTAATATTATTACTGTAGTAAATAAAAAATATTATAATCATCTCAATGTGTTATAGATTACTCTGGAGGCAATGAAATCTGAAATAGATGAAGTAGCTTTGCAAGGTATTGAATTTTGGTCAAATGTATCAGATGAAGAAGTTGATCTTTCCATGGAAGAAGGAGAAGCCTCTGAAGGAGGTCGGCCTCCATCAAAAGTATCCAGACACTATGCAAAAGGAGCTTTACAATATTTAGTTCCTATATTGATGCGGAAATTGACAAAACAAGAAGAATTCGACGATGAAGATGATTGGAATCCTTCTAAAGCTGCTGGAGTCTGTCTTATGCTTCTAGCTTCATGTTGTGAAGAAAATATCGTTCCTTTCGTGTTACCATTTGTTAAAGATAATATTAAAAATCCAGACTGGCGATTCCGTGATGCAGCCCTAATGGCTTTCGGTTCAATTTTAGGTGGTCTGGAACCGAATACTCTCAAACCATTGGTAGAACAAGCTATGCCAACTTTGATCGAACTAATGTACGACAGTAGCGTAGTAGTTCGAGATACTGCAGCCTGGACCTTCGGAAGAATTTGTGAAATTATTCCGGAAGCTGCAATCAACGAAACTTATTTAAAACCTTTGTTAGAATCATTGGTCAACGGGTTGAAAGCTGAACCACGTGTTGCTGCTAATGTATGCTGGGCATTTACAGGACTAGCTGAAGCTAGCTACGAGTCTGCAGAAGTTATCGAAGATGGTCAACAACCAGAAACATATTGTATGTCACATTATTTTGATTTTATTATTCAGCGTCTTCTAGAAACTACCGATCGTCCAGATGGAGCACAAGCTAATTTAAGATCAGCTGCTTATGAAGCGCTCATGGAGATGGTTAAAAATTCACCTCGAGATTGTTATGTAACTGTACAAAAAACTACAATGGTTATCTTGGAAAGATTACAACAAGTAATGCAAATGGAATCGCATATACAAAATCACTCAGACAGAGCCCAGTATAATGATCTACAATCCCTTTTATGTGCTACTTTGCAATCAGTGCTAAGGAAAGTTACACCAGAAGATGCGCCGCAAATATCCGATGCAATTATGACTGCTTTGTTGTCAATGTTCAATTCAAATTCTTGTAAGTCTGGTGGAGTTCAAGAAGATGCACTCATGGCGGTATCAACACTGGTTGAAATTCTTGGAGAAGGGTTTTTAAAATATATGGATGCTTTCAAACCATTTTTAAGTTTGGGATTGAAAAATCATGCCGAATATCAAGTATGTGGAGCAGCTGTAGGTCTTACTGGAGATATTTGTCGGGCTTTGAAAAATAAAATTCTTCCATATTGTGACGAAATTATGACTCTTTTATTAGAAAATTTAAGTGATAATACTGTCCATCGTTCAGTTAAACCACAAATTTTATCTGTATTTGGAGACATCGCTCTCAGTATTGGTTTAGAATTCAAAAAGTATCTTGATGTAGTTTTACATACTTTAGCTCAAGCATCGCAGACCTATGTAGATAGATCTGACTATGACATGATTGAGTATCTCAATGAATTGCGTGAAGGAATATTAGAAGCCTATACTGGTATCATTCAAGGCCTGAAAGGTGATGGAACGATCCCTAATCCTGATGTTTCATTAGTTGAATCGCATGTACCCTTTATTATTCAGTTTATTACAACCATTGCTCAAGATCGAGAACATTCAGATGGAAATATTGCAGCATCTGTAGGTTTATTAGGAGATCTTGTAACAGTTTTTGGAGTAAAGTTAATACCCTTGATCGAATCAGATATACTTGTCGATTTACTCAATAAAGGAAGGAGATCTCGAACTACTAGAACTAAAAATTTAGCCACGTGGGCTTCGAAAGAAATCAGGAAATTGAAAAATGCAAACAACATTATCCCTAGTTGGTAAGTAAAACAGTTTGTTAAAATTTCTCTATTGTATTTATATTTTATCTGTCATTATAACAATTATTTTAATAGGGCCACTTCTCTATGAATCATACATTTTTTATCAATTGAATTTTTCGTGAAATTCCTTTAAAAAATAAATTTAAATGAGAAATATAAAACATCCATCGAAATATCCCTTTGAAGAAAATATATTCTTTCATAAAAATTCATTATAACAGAAAATAATGAGTAATTAATGGTAAGCCTGCAATTGCTCAGTAGCAGAGCAAGAACAGCAATTAAAATGAAATTTTAGACTTTTTATACATTCCATGTTTGTTCAAGCTTTTTAACGAATCATGTACATTACATGAAACATAATCTATCCGCTCCTTTTGACTGTTGCTTGCTAAGAATTAATCCCCCGCCCCCTTTTCGCACTTTATATTTACATGTTACAATATTTTAAAAATAGGAATCACATGTTTGTAACATTTCAGAGAATAAATAATTTGGGCAAAATTTATTTAAAATTCAAAATATTTAAAAACAAAGTAGAAGGGACACGCACGTTTACATGAAAGCCAACTTTTATATACCTTTTATGATTAAGAACATCATGTAAAATTTTGATGGGCCAGTATATTTTTGATTTTAAAACCATAAGTTTTCTTAGGTCTTCATCTATTTTACAGAAATACTTTAGTAGCACTTTTTTTTAATGAAGATGTATCATGATAATTTTTATTTCTTTTATAGAATACAGTAAAAAGTGTCTAACAGAAAAAAATTATATTAACGAAAGGGCTTTCAAAATATCAATAAATAAGCATATATTTTTCATAATCTTTAAATTTTCGATAAAAGTGTGAAATCCAAAAATCTGAAAATCGGTTCAAAAAAAGTAATGTGCCATAACAAATAGCAGTAATTATGATTGAAGAAAAGCTCTCTTTCTATTCAGAAATTGTAGTCGAAATTTTTTTATTGAAAATTACCTGTGTATTTTACTAAGGAATAGATGATGACACACCAATAGTCAAAGTTGTATTCTTTTTTTTTGTAGTTACTTGTAAATTTTTTATTATAAGGCTCTTTGGTTTTATTCTATCATTTTTTCATTCGAAAATTTTCACACTCGTAATATCACATTTTTAAAGAGAGAGCTAGCTTCTTATGAAACTTTGCAGGAATATTGTTTTGGGTTTGCTTGATCTATTGTAGAAATGTCAACATTGGCTTGCTTACTAATATCTGAAAATAAAGTCTTTGCAAGTGATTATTGTAACATTGACTTTTATGATCTCATGAGATTGATGTTATGTCAAATTTATACCTTTCCGCACTAACAAATAAATAATTAAACTGAAATTGAGTAGGTGATTTTATTGACTGATTATGAGTGCCACTAGTATCGTAAAATTCAGAGAACCAAAAAGGATTAAAATTTTCAAATCGACTATGACTTATTTTCAGAAGCCTAGATTTAACATTTTTTTATGGTAATTATCAAGACTTCTTAAAAACGTTAATGAACAATTTTTTAAATTATTGAAAAAATTTCAGATAGATTCTTCGAATAATTTCAATTCCCTTTTATTTTTTGCATTTTTTCGTTTCGTTTAAGTGCTTTTACCTCGAGAAAGAAATCTCAAATTTTTATTGGTAATACAGGTAATACTTAAAAAAATGAACCCTAAGGCCATAAAGTCATAGCACTGCGTGGCATAAGTTCTCATTTATGGCACGCTTTTCGGTGGCATAAGTCGCACATTCTGGCACCGCTGCGTTCGGAATCACACTCGCATACGCTCGCGCGCTAACCACACTTCGCGTTACCAAAGAGTGCTACTTATGCATCGGAAAAGGTGGCATAAACGTGAACTTAGCACAGTGCTATAAAATGTTGTACGATACTCGTGACATAGGGGACACTTTTCGGCCCAGCTATTAGGACCCTCGCTGCGCTCGGGCCCTAAACTACGCCGTGCCAAAAAGTGTTACTTATGCCACTAGTATCGTAAATTACTATTATGAGAAATGTACACGAAAATTATGCCTCGACCTGGAGTCGAACCAGGACCAATGTACCTATAGCCCGCAGACGCTGTACCAATTCAGTTATCGAGGTCTTGGCAGTATCAATCGTTATTTGTGTACATAAAAATGTTAATTTTTATTCTTACATTTCAAATATATTTTTCATCCTGCTACATATGATTAATTTGATTCAATTTGTCTATCTTTGCTCCATAATTTTTTTAATAAGACTGAAATTGTCATCAATTGGAAGAAAGAGCATACGTGTATTGAATTTATTACTATTTATTACTATTTTAATGTTTTGAACTATTCTTTGTCATAAAAAAGAAACTACGCAGAACTGATGTTGAGTACAATAAGTCTTGATATAAATCCATAAATCTTTTGGGATTTTTCGGTTCGTGGCGAGGATGCCTAATTTTTTCCGCTTTTCATCCAGCGGAAAAAGTACCCAATGAGCCCTGGCTTTATAGCGTCAGGGTTTCTTCTAGAGTACTACTAGTGCGAATTCACTGGTTCACCTATAGATTTTCCTTGCCCCACGGGTTCTCTGGTCATGGTGAATGCGAGACAGTGGTAGGAGGGTAAGGATTAAAATCTCTTGCTACGCAGGAGCATATGCTTCTTACAGACTATTACAAGTATGCAAATAGAGAAGGAGAAATGTATGTTATGCAACAAGCTATATGATGTTGCATACAATATTTTTCTGCATTTGGTTCGTCAAACATGGTTTTTATGCCACTGAATGGTTAGCAAAACCATGTTTTGAGCACGAAGTGTTGAAAAAAAATTGTCCTTATTAAAAATCATTTTTAAAATTCAATTAATTTTTTTCGATTTTGAGATTCCTCTTTACGATCATTTTTGATCGTCTGATCCGATCTCCTTCCTTATATTGTGACTATCGCGTTACGTCGTCACATCTCTCTCTCCTCCAATACTATGTAAAGACAACTTATGTACTACTTTATGCAACGCAGCAGTAGCCGCGGTATGCACGTATGTGTGAGAGAGAGATAACGTAAGTGCGTGTCGCATCACGCACGATTGTCTGCTCCGTTTTGGTAAGGAGTAGGGCCGCTGAGAGGTCACGTGAGTAATTAGCCCGAAGTACACGTGAACCTGTGCTCTCAACGGCAGATTTTTTTTAGCGACGAACTAGCGTGAGCGTACGAAAAGTTACTTATCGTTCCTTTATTAAGTCCGTAGCTAATCGCATAAAAGAAATACCTTTTTTTTGTGAAAGTGTAGTTCCGCGCCCGCGAACCTCGACCAAGTGCACGACAGCACCACGTGACGAGCCAGCTTTCCGAGGAAGCAAGAGAGCCTAGCGTTGGAGCAACTACGCCGTCCTGTAAGTGCTTTTCGTTTTAATCTCGCCCTCGTGTGCAATCGTGTTCACAGCCTACGTTGGCTATTGTGTGTGACTGTCGCGATTGCTCTGCTGCGTACGCACTTGTGTATGACCACTCCTTCTTGATTGAATAATAACCATTTATTTATATTTTATCTTTTACTTAAATCCGCGAGTGATTATTTTGTCTTTCCCGTCAATATTCTTCCCTAGATTTTGGACTACGGCGCTGCCGCGGTCGATGCGAAATCTCGCACCGAATTCTGAGCTAGCTGGCGATATCGCAAACCTTGGACGATAATTGATTTGTTTAATTATTTATTGCAACGGTTCCGGGAACCGTTACAATATATCCTTTTAAATATAAAATATATCTAGCAAGATTTCAAAAAACAAGATTAAAAATTTTAATTTTTTGCTTATGTTCCCAATACTTTTAGACTGCATAAATCTTTTAATCGTCTTTTAAGCTATAAGACATCATGAATTCTTACGCTAGAAACCATTTCTTTATTAATCATCTCAAAATTCGAACCTAACAAATAACCGGTAAATAAAAGATGAAATGATTTCTGTAAAAATCATATCGTTTGAACGCAAAAATATTATAAAGAGCAACACACGCTGTTGGATTAAATCCATCTAATTGTTACCCAAGCAATACACAGAATCCAATGATACTTGAATCATGAACATGTTATCTTGTGTCATTAAAATGAACTATGCCTAATTATTAACTGTCATTTTGAAAAATATCTTTATATACATTTATGTATGTTTAAATCCCTTATAATCAATTATAGAAAATCAAGGTTCAGTTACATTAAGGGGGGGGGGNGGTGGACACTGTAACTGAAAATCTACTCGACCGATTCTTTCCAAATTTTTCTCACTATTTATCTACATAAATTATGAGGTAATGACGTCGAGATATTTTGTTTAAAATGATTTTTGAGTTTTTGGCATCATTTTGAAGTTAAAAAAATGACTTTTTTGACAAAATGAAGGCAAAAATTCATCGTACTTGTTTGTAAAAAGCATTAAAAAATGCAAAAATTTAAAATATCTCGACGTCACTACCTCATATATCATCTACTTAAATAGTGTATAAAATATGAAGTTTATTGGTCGAGTAGATTTTGAGTGATGGTGTCCACCGGATTTTTTTTACGTTGCATGTGAAAATTTGCTGTAGCCACCTCATTTTTCAGTATTTTAGGCTGAAAATTTAACTGAATATTCTTCAAATAACTATTAATTATGTGTATGATTTATAGATCAATTCGATTTACTATATGTTCAAAATAAAAAAAAAATTNCCCCCCCCCCCCCCCCTTAAATCATGTAAAAATAAATTAAGCTTTGAAAAATTTGATAAATATTTGTTGAAATGTGTTTATTTTTTTGTTTCAGATGATACAATTTCTTCATTGCAGATATCAGAAAACTGTACAAAACAGTTCAAGATTTTTCTGCAGATTTTTTATCTACAACCACAACTTGATTTTATGTGAAAAATTTTGAAAATAACGTTTAAATCTATCGTTTTCAATAATTGGTGAATAAATTAAATTTGTTATGCACATCACTTGATAAGTTTTTCATCTCTGTTATTTTTATGTTTTTTTAATAATCATACCTTATTTCTTACTGAAGTAACGACCTAATCTTGAAAACCAAGGCGGCTGCACTTTTTTAAGAAAAAAATTTATCAAACGAATTATTGTGATCGTAATAAAAAATGTGATTGTGTTTTTTTCAATTATTTTTTGTTTCATTTATTACTCGAAATTTGTTTTTTTCTAATTAAGAATTTTTCTGATTAAGTGTAAAAACATATTATGAAAAGAAGATTGAAAAATAATTATAATTTAATAGTTAAATCTGCAAGAAGTCCCCAAGAGATATTTTCGCCAAAAACTGGAACGCTTAGCATTTTGATGAAATAGCAAACGATATATACTTATCCAGAAATTATGATATAACACAAAAACGAGGCATTTTATCGTGAACTAGTGTCCAAGTTTGTGCATTAAAAAGTTATTTCAAATGTCTTTTAAAGCACTCTGAGCTAAAACTCGCATCTTCGCTGTGTTGGTTTTAGACTGTTGTACTATAAAATATTGTATGCAACTTGTGCGATTGAGCTTTTTCAGCAAAACTCATTACAGCACTGACCTGTAGTCGATGTGGCAACCTCTCGTTGCATGAAAAACTATTTATTCCAAACTATTGCATAAAAAATTTTAATTAGTGAAACAAATGTTTTTACTAAATTAATAGCCTCATTTTAATTAATATTTTAAATGTCATCCAACTATCATATTTAGTAGGAAATAACATCTATTAGTATGCAGCAAAAAATCTTTTTATGGTTTTATATAAACGTTTTCATTACATATGTCTTCGTCTTAACTAGACCAATCAGCCCGCTGCGCACACATTCGCGTCTCAAGTAATTCTGCATTTAGTTCCAAAATCAAATTTTTAATCCCGTGTATCAAGGTGATTACCATTGTAGTTCTGGAGTATACCATAGAATACTGTCAAAATAAAAAACTAACCTTTTAATCGTCGGAATCGTCAAGATTTAAGGGGACAAACCAGTTCTAAAACCTGAAATGATTAATAGGGGTAAAATAATGAATCAATCACATTTCAAGGAATATAAAAATTATCTATGTTTTTTTTTTGCTTTATTTAGAATGAGATAAACCATGATGGTGTCCTAGAATATCAATTTAATAGTCGAGACCACTAAAATGGTTATGGTTGACGGCTTAAACTCTTTGTAAAAGTGTTCTTCTCCACTTAAGTGTAACAGACTTTTGAAAAATGTTCAAGGAACATTTGTATGAGTGTAAAGGTACAAATACTCAAAAATATTGTGAACGATTTATATTATAGATCGACGACTTTGCAAAATGTAAGCATCAAATAGTTTCAGCCGTTGTAGACGTTACGATAGCGACTTGATTATTAATAATATGGCATCACGTTTAATTTGGTAAATGGCAGGCAAAGATTCATAGTTTTGAATGATCGAGTAATTTATTATTATCAGATGCTAATTTTACAAAGCACAAAAGCGCCCGAGAATACGAACTACTAAGAAATCCGGAAATGGCTATTACTCGAAAAATTAAAGTGATTTTTACTACGCCCGAAAGTTTTACGTCAAACCGAAGTTTCAAATGTTTCTCACGTTACCTTAACGAAAAACATAATTTGAAGCGAATCGTATGTGACCAGGCACATTGTATTGTGACTTGGGATTTGTCTTTTCGGAGATCTTATGTCGAGGGGTTCGGCGTATTGAACAAAAATTGTACTTTAATCAACGTACCCAAGAGCTTTTTTACTGCAACCATTACCGATACGGAAACCGATGACTTATGTATGCGACATCGTTAAAATAGAGCGCAAAGATTTAATAACATTCCCAGGTCCAGGATAATCTTTTATTTTACTTTATGACGTAATAAACATTTATATTTTTTAAATTAAAGGCAGTGCGATGCACGAAAATTTATATATTAATATCAAGAATGTAACCGATTTAACAAGCAATAGAAACTATCGAATAGAACCTCTAACCAGTATCTACTTGAAAAAAGTCTCGTTTTTGTTGGAATTGTTGAATGACGACAGTTTCAGAAATAAATCAGGAATAATATACGTATATTCGGTTAGAACTGCGTCACATTTAGAAAGAAATTTAAAGTTCAACAACATTGGATGTGAGTCTTATACTGGTCCCACTAAGAATATCTTTAATATTGTTGTCGCGACGTGTGCATTCGGAATGGGCATAGTTTAAAAATATACAGATTTTGTAATTATTTATGAATTGCCGGAGACGCTTTCCGTGTTAACCTAAATGATCGGTAGGACCGGTCGTAATGGACAAAACGTACAAACGTACATAATTTTCGACTTCGCAGATTATTTTTAATGTAAGAGAAATTTATTGCGAAGCAAGCCAAAAAGAGATGCTTTGGATACTGATAAATTAGAATATTTAATGATAGTCAAGCGTGGCATGCAGCCTCACACCTTTCACTCATCCAGTCAACAAGGCATGCAGCCTCACGCCTTTCACTCATCTAGTCAACAAGGCATGCAGCAGCTTCACTCCTTTCAAGCTCCTGGGCAACAAGGCACCGATCAACTGTCAACGATGCTAGGCACTGGACATCAGCCCTTCGCCTTCCAAGTTTCATCACAGCAAGGCATTCACTGCAAGCTTCATCAACACAAGGTGCACAACAGGCCTCATCAACACAAGGCGAATAGCAGACTTCATCACAGCAAGGCGTACTGCAGGCGTCATTACAGCAAGGCATACGGGAGGCTCTACCAAAGCAAGGCGTACTGAACACATTAGCGTGGCTAAGCCCTGGACAGCAATCTCAGGCCTTTCAAGCCCCTGTTTTTCCACCTAGCGCCAACAGCTTCGCAACACAGCAGCCCTGGGACGTGGGAAGCAATCAAGCCCTGCAGCAGCAAACATTTGCACAGTCAACGTCTGCCGAATACTGCTCAGACTACCAAATTGTTTCTTTGAACAAATGAATAGAATATTTGGAAACGCTTATACGTCATTTCTTTTCTAATAATACAAGTACTCAGACAGTCGACACTGGCAGACACGAGGCGCGCAGCAACTATGCACTGCTGAACCCTCTGGCTATACCCTTCAGTGCAAGCTCCCAGCCCTCACTCCAAGTAACACTACTGCTGCTGCATCGACGACAACAACCAGCACACCGACACCTGTCAACACAGCTGCGTTTTCTGCTGCTACGACTACAAGCAACTCTCAGTCTTGAGCCGCAGCTCTCCCAGTGGTCAAGCACGACCCAACGGACACCTCATCTACTTTGCGCAGTGAGGCCAGCCGCCAACCACTGCCGTCGAGAACTCTCAACTGTTAGTTGTAGACTCTTTGCCAGGTTAGACAGGTCGCCTACATGCACAATCGTTGTACAGCCAAAGAGCTTCAATCGTTTCGATTCCTTAATTCCTTTTATCAAAACGACCCGATCTTGTGGTTTGATATGCGAGAACGAACTTTGTGCAGGGAACGTTGTTTCAGACAAGAATACTACTAAAAAGTCTTGGACAAGTCATGTCTAAAAATCTGTCTCCTTTTCTTCAGACACTCAAGGATCGAAACGATCGGTATAGTCAGTTAAAAGCTCACTTGCTATAAAAACATTTGCAGACTAAAGAGCAGAGAATTTTCGCAGCACTCTTTGGACACTGTAGTTTAGGCAACAAAAAGCCATCTGAGCTCTTCGCCGAGCTGCAGGTCTTGGCACGCTCTAGTGTACCAATAAAAACTGTGTTGCTGCTCTGGTACAGCAAGCTTCCTTGCACGATTGCTGTTCATTTAGATGAGGAGATGCTGTCAAGGCCACTAAGAAGGCTGACCGCATTATCAAAAGGTTGAAATCGGATCCTCTTTGCGTCGCAGCTTTCACTTGGAGCAGTGAAAGCATTCCGGCTACGAGTTCTTGCGAGATATCGGCTGTCGCTCAGCAGCGAAAGCCTCGGCCGAAGCGCTCGTCGTCTACTGACGAAAAACCTCGTCGCTCTCGCTCACAATCCAAGGCAAAGTTTGTCCCGAACAAGAATTTTTGTTATTATCACTTCTATTATTTTAGCCAACAAAACTCTCTTAGCCTATCAGCAAGAGAATGCACAGTTACGTCTCGTCACTGACGCTTCGCGTGCATTGCGGCAGGCGCCTCGCTGGAACAATTAACGGACAAGGGGTGGCAACCGCTAGGATTCTTTAGTAAGAAGTTCACTTCGGGTCAGCGCAAGTACGCGCCGTACGACCTTGAACTTACAGCCATATTCCTGGCATTAAAGTATTTTCACAGCGAGCTGGAGGCGCGTGAGTCCGACGTTTGGTGCGACCATTAACCACTTCAATACGCGTTTATGCAATCTCCAGAACACGCTCCGATTGTGAGACAGCGTCAGCTCTCTTACATTTTACAATACACTACTTCTATTAAGTATCTCCCTGGAGCAGAAAATTCAGTCGCGAACCGCCTTGTCGCGCATCGACGACTTCATTAGGATTGATGCTTTTGCCCTCCCTACGACTTTAACCTTGGACACTCTTCAAGCTCAACAAGCCCCAGACCAACAGCTGCAGCTAATTCTCTCTGACCCTACTTTTCCATTAAAGCTCACACAATACAGATAGGGGGATCAACCTATCTATTGCTCACTTGTAATTCATCGCGTACACCCCTGAGTCCATGCGCGATGTGGTCTTCAAAATTTTTCACTCGCCGGAGCACCCAGGCCCTCGTGCCGCGAATAAAATAATTCGTAGAAAATATGTGTGGCCAGACATGTCGAGGCAAATAGGACAGTGGTGTAAGAATTGCTTGCCATTTCAGAGAGCGAAGGTGTCCAGACATAATAAATTTTTTCCTTTAAAATTTCCCTTGTCAGATGCACGCTTCTGGCAAGTGCATTTAGATATAGTAACGTTGTCGGAGAGTGAGTGCTACTTACACGCACTTACTGTGATCGATCGTTACTCGAGGTGGCCGGAAGCAGTAC